CACACACACACACACACACACACACACACACACACACACACACACACACACACACACCGTTTTTGTAGTTTTTATGAAGATGTAAGAACAATGCAGCAATTATTTTATGAAGAAAATTCTGGATTTCCGATTACCTTTGAAGGCAACAGTACAAACCGGAACGCCCACTTCTGACCTTTGACCAATCAGCGGCGGAGAATCAGCTGATTTGATCACATGACTTTCGTCATGCAGCTGCTAGCATAACAAGCAGAGAGAAAGCTGCGGCTGGAAGAACAAACAACAATAACTGGATATTAAAATGGAAACCGCTTGAAGACATGAGTATGTATGTTTTTATCTTACTGGGTAACTTTTCAAAGTGTTTCTGTCTGAGTGTTAGCTGACATGTTTCAGACTGACTGAGTGAAACAAGCTTAGCTTCAGACCTGAGACCAATAACGACTGATATATAAATGTAATATATTTATATATATTACATTTATATACATATATGTAAGGCTTTTTAAAACATACCTGTTTAACAGAAGCGTCACAGACTGAACATTTAGTTAGTTTACACACAAATATTTGAAACAGATAAATTACAGTCAGCCTGTATAATATTCTCAAACCTTTACCAGGAYCTATAATAAATATATTTTTGTTAAATTCTGGGGATTATACCTCTAAACTGTACGATATTTTTAAAAAGATGCGCCCCGCCTGTATAATGGTAGGGAACACTGCTTAGTTTATAATATTGTTCAATGTTTTAGCCAAGATAAACTTTAGCAGTACACTTTTCACACAGACTGGTTTATTRGTAGTATATTTCAAGATTAAACTAAAAGTATACATAGAAGATTACTTTCAGTATACTTTTGAGTATACTTTCATAAACTTGTTGTGGGCCAGCTTAGTCCTAGAAGTATACTTGTTAGTAAACTGCTAGTGTACTTATATCATTGTACGTAGTAAATAAAAGTACACTTAGGGACATATACTTGTATATATTTAGTATACTTAATGACAAGTACTTTAAGTATACTTCTTTTTGGTAAGTTTATAAACATTATAACAGTATACTTAAAGTATAAACTAAAAATGTCCCAATTTAGTATGAACGAATATTAAATCAATATAAAGGGAAAAAAACTGTATAGGTCCTCTGGACGGGTTCTTCTCTAATGAAACGTTTCGTCTCTCCTCCAAGAGACTTCTTCAGTCTGAGAGTTTCAGGCTAAATTCAGGCTTTTAAGCCCTGCCTCCATGTGACTGATACTCACATCAGTTTCGGAGAAACTGAGACGTTTATTTTCTAAACATGATGTCCCAGTGGCTTTCAAACCCCAAAACACATTACAGCAA